CAGGCATACACAAAACATCTCCCTGCATGCAACGTATGCAACAAGCAGAGGTCTTACAAGACGTACATGAAATCTGTGATCAAGATCACACATGTGTGATCTTAAATCACACATTTGTGATCAAGATCACACATGTGTGATCTTAAATCACACATTTGTGATCAAGATCACACATGTGTGATCTCCATCACACATATGTGATCAAAATCACAAACGTGTGATCTTCACCACAAATGTGTGATCCATCATTACAAATGTGTGATCTTGATCACAGATTTCGATGGACATCACACATTTGTGATTTTGATCACATATGTGTGATCTTCATCACACATTTGTGATTCATCATCACACATTTGTAATGACTAGATAACATGCGGGCATGCCCGCCACAGCTTGACTGTTTCTTAATTTACCTACAGAGATTGAAATTTGCAAAAAGAAGGACTTTCCACCACCCACTTACATAGCTCTGGTCACAATTGTCCACTATGATGGCTTGTTGGGTTAGGTGGATGGTTGCATTATAGAAGTTTCTTCATTATACAAAAATGTGATGGGAAAACTGATATTGATTAAATTGAGTAGCATAACTTACCTCTTTATAGGTCTAAGAAATAAATGTGAGGCTTGGCAAAGACGCAACTTTTAAAGTGATGCTTTCAAATGCTGAGAAGAACACAACTTTGAAAATGACTTTTTACAGGCAACCATTGAAGATAGCAGGTTGCTTGGAGCCTCAAACAAGACGATGATTCGGAACAAGGCAGATTAAGAGTAAATAGCTTACCTTTTCAAGAAATTGCAAAAACAAAAAAAGAAGAACAATAGAAATTGAAAGAAAGAAGAACAATAACAAATGAAAAGCCGCGATAGAATCGGCGATTGAAAAGTGGACAGACAATCACGAACCCAACTTGAAAAGCACAAATCAAACTTGAAAAGCACCAAAACCAACCTGATGCGAGGTGGACCAGAACAGAAGAGGATTGTACGGTACTTATGCGGGTCGATTCAACGTATTTATATTTTAGATGGATCACACATTCGTGGTGAAGATCACACGTTTGTGATTCATCATCACACATTTGTGATGATGAATCACAAATGTGCAGCCTCAAGTCACAAATGTGTGATCATGAATCACAATGTTGTGATCTCAAATCACAAATCTGTAATCATCAATTCCAAATGTGCAGACTCAAATCACAGCTGTGTGATCATGAATCACAAATGTGTGATCTCAAATCACAAATGCGCAGCCTCAATTCACAGATGTCTGATCATGAATCACAATGGTGTGATCTCAAAACACAAATGTGTTATCCTCCATTCCAACTGTGCAGCCTCAAATCACAGATGTGGGATCCTAAATCACAAATGTGTGATCTTTACTCACAAATGTGTGATCCTAATTCTCAAATGTGTGAACATGAATCACAAATGTGTGATCCTAATTCTCAAATGTGTGCTCTTGAATCACAAATGTGTGATCTTGACACTACAAGAAAGATAATATTTTCTGGGCAGAAAATTAAATTATTGATACACAAAAATATTGAGAGGCCAGGAGGAGAGCAAAAAATGAATAAAAATATGCATCTTGTTCCCTGCGTTGAGAACTTCACTCTGCATATTTTTGCGTATTTTTACAGTCCATATTGATAAGTGTACTAACAATAAACCTTCACAATCATCCAATTACAACCTGTAACAAGCACTGAAATTTGGCTCATTAGTGTTTAGAGAAACTTTTGATTTCTCAAAATACTCATAACTTTGTCAATTCCGGTCCAAAACGCTCGATTTTGGGTGCAT